CAAAGAATAACCATGTTCAAGCTTGTTTATTATTCTTAGATCAGCCAAAGTTAGCTAGGTGTTAGTTAACGACCTGGAGCTAGGTGTACAAAAAAGACATATGCATGCCTATATATACACTACATATGTGTGCACATGTAAGATATGCCATCCATCTGCTTTGTATTTTATATATCCAGTTTTTCATGCTGTAGTGTCTCCTTAGCCTGTTTGATTCTAGCTGTTGCTCTGTCATCCTTGTGATATCCTAAGCTATTTTAACGGGTAAGATTCTTTATGTCTTCTAGTCCTTGTATTGTGCACCCACTCCTTCTTTGAAGTCTGCATTTTTAACTTGAGGAAGTTTTTGCCTTTGTTTTCTTCCAGAAATGCCTCCCTTTAAGAATACACTCCCTGCTTTTTCTCTTCCCCCCAGTGCCTGGCTACTGTTGTCATCATGCTGGTTGGAGACACCTACACTTTAATTAATTATGTTTCCTTCATCAACTACCTCTGCTATGGAGTCACAATAATAGGCTTGCTCGTGCTACGCTGGAAGGAGCCCCAAATCTTCAGACCGATCAAGGTGAAAAATAGTGGGGCAGTCTGATTTTTCTTCTACTCTTTGGCCTCTACTGTCCTTGGGATAAAGAGGCCTTTTGAGCTGAAGTGTTTGGCCACTGATTTTAAAGGTCTTGTTTTTAACATTCAATGTTATTGTCATATTAAAAAAAAAAATGAGAAAGGAGAAGTGCTTATTCACCTGTCTGTCATATACCCTTTTTTAGTTTGGTTTTATTTTAAAATGAAACTGACTCAACCATTTGCTATTTATGATCCAATCTAGTTAATTCCACTTTTTTAAGGGAAACGATTCTATCAGTACATGGTCAAAATACAGCTTTTTAACCAGATTAGAACTGAGAGAGCAAGCAGATAGAGCCAGGCTGTTGGTGAAATGACATGGAAAGAACTGATTGTTTTGGGGGAGGGAGCATAGTTTCCCTATCCCCTCATAGCTCTCCCAGTCCCCCTTCCCATCTGCTCCTTAAGGAAAGGATCTCATCCTGTCATTTGTGCTGAGCCTGGGAAATGCATGTTCTTATCTAAACATACATTATATATATTTGATCTGGAACAAACTGTATAGAGATGCTTACAGGAGTAAATTTCCAGAGTGGCTTGCAGGCTAATTTCAAAAGCATTTCAAGTATAAACTAAAATCAGCAGAGAAGAATAATTATATTTTAATTAAACAGCAGTAATAACTAAGAGGTAAGCAAACATTGTGAAAAAGAAATGCTGGGCTAAACTAAAAGGTTTTGGAATGGTTGATTGAAAGCTTCTTGTGGCCCAATTTATTTACTGTTTCATTTATCATATTTATATTCCGCTGTGCTTTCATGGAGCATAAACTGGATTATTTTATCCCCGTATCCATGTTATCCCTACAACAACTCTGTAAATAAGGATAGCTGATAGACTGGCAATCTTCACAGCTGAGTGGGGTCTTGAATCCAGACAATTTCAATCCTACTCCAAAATTTCTACATCATAATAAACCATCTTAGTCTAGTGAGCATCATAACTTTGACCCAGTACAGTAAAAACTATGACGTTTTGGTTCTGGACAGACCACATTCCAAGGTTGGAGATAGAGCTCCAACCTCAGAAGTCAAACTCCAAAATTGGAAAGCTTCTGAGGCAGGTAGGAACTTGTATCTCAGAAGGGTCCCAAAAGAAAGTACAATGGGGGAAGAAGACCTAACTAGATCCGGGCCTCTTCTAAATCTTAGGTCCACTCCAAAGGAAGTGACAGTGGAAATGGGAAGAGAGAAAGAAACCATTCTCTCCTGCCAGACTTGTTAGACAGTTTGGAGGCTCTGATGTCAAGTTACCTCCAACTTTACCTGCCAGATTGTTATGCCCAGGAATGAAGAAAGAACAGAGTTAAACTTGCCTTCTTGACCCTGGTGACCTTTAAATGAGTAGGACTACAGTCTCCATCATCTCCATATCCCCATGCTTGGGGCCATGTTGACTAAGGATGGGGGGGGTGTTGTCCAGTATCTGGCATTTCCCAGCTGGTGGAGGCTAGGTTAAATTAACCAAGCCAGAAGTGCCTGGTGATCTAGCTGAGTCCATGGAGATGGTCCAATGATGTCTATCAGCACAAAGGGAATTAGGGCAGAAAAACAAGCCTCTGTACCCTTCCAATATTTTCTTTCCTCTTAGGTAAACCTCCTGGTTCCAATCACTTACCTGATCTTTTGGGCCTTTCTCTTAATCTTCAGTTTATATTCTGAGCCAGTGGTCTGTGGAATTGGACTGATTATCATATTAACTGGAGTGCCAGTGTTTTTTCTTGGCGTGTACTGGAAAAACAAACCAAAGTGTGTAAATAGAATAACAGGTAAGAAAAACAACCCTGTAGGCAGTATCTAGGATATCTGTCGATTACAAGATAATACACTGATCACTGCGAGGTTGTTTGCCCAGGTAGCTGTTCATATAGCCACTATCACAGGTATGCAGAACGCTGCCTTAGTCAAGATCAGAAAGGAAAGACTTCCTCCATGTCTTGTAACCTGATCCTCCTAATTAGAGAGGTTTATAAGTTGATGAAGGACCTCCTTATTAAGAGTTAAGGGTCTTCAAGGTTCACTTTCAGGTTGGGGCAACACCTGTCCAAATACCAGTTTCAGGAGAATAAAACAGTGGAAGAGAGAGGTGTCTCCATCTCTTGCTTAGTCCAGAAGCATCTGTGAGAAACAAAATGCTGGATTAAGAAGAGCTTGGTCAGGTCCAACATGCCTATCTTTACATTCTAGGCTTGGAACTGAACTCTTGGATCTTCCCCGTGCAAAGCAGATGTTCTTCTGTTGAGCTCAAATGCCTTCCCAGTTAATAATGCCTACTCGGGTCTCAAAACTAATAGGGTAACCTGGCTCTTGGTTCTTTTTTTCAGAGTCTTTAACCCACTGGGGCCAGAAGATCTGTTTTGTTGTCTACCCTCAGGGGGGATCTCCTGAAGACGATCTACCTTTCACCGATTATCCCTCTCAAGAAGTCAAAAGACCTTGAAGAAACAATTATACTTTTTACAGAATAAGTAGATTTTGTTTACATTATGGCTTTTTTTTTTTTTTTTTTTAGTTTTCGTGGGGTAGGGGGGAAAGAAAAGTACTTCGTTAG